ATTTGACCTGAGTGACGAAGTATTTTAGTTATTAGTTTCCTAATTTTACCTGAGTGACGAAGTATTTTAGTTATTAGTTTCCTAATTTGACCTGAGTGACGAAGTATTTTAGTTATTAGTTTCCTAATTTGACCTGAGTGACGAAGTATTTTAGTTATTAGTTTCCTAATTTGACCTGAGTGACGAAGTATTTTAGTTATTAGTTTCCTAATTTGACCTGAGTGACGAAGTATTTTAGTTATTAGTTTCCTACGGTTGAGCCATGTACTGGACTCTAGGTTCGAATAGGGTGGAAGATAAGCCCGGTGAGAACCGATGGACAGAAAATATCGATATAAGGTCATCAAACCGATATCCAAACCAGTTAGTCGAAGTTTGCTGTATAGAGGGCTGCCTAGCTATAGGAGACACCAGCGGTGTTCGTAACTGGCTTCTAAATTCGATTGGGATAGTCATATTGTTATATTATTTGATTACTAAATGCATCATAGCAGAGCTATGCATCAATATTAGATCGTAATTAACGCTATTCATTTCAAATCACAAATCAAATTTATTAACTTAATCCTAATCAACTATCATAATATTAAAGAAAAACAAATACGTAAATGGCTCTTCAAAAACTAGGAAATTTTGTAAATTGTAGCTTTTGGCTCTTCCTTCTCAAAAGGTTGCCAACCCATTGTCTAGCATTTAGGGCACATTATTACTCTACCTTACAGTAACAAGATAGCCATATTGTCTTCTTGTTGGCCGATAATGATGTGGATGAGTTATGGCGTCTATGCCACAGAGTGCTTGGGTTTCACGATACTGATGTTGAAGTTTTCATTCGTAGATTTTAAAACGTTTCTGCAGTGGCGTAGGTAGAGGGGGGTTATGGGGGGTCATAAGCCCCTCCCCCCCATAGACCCCCCCGGTATATTTATAAAGTTTGAGGGGGGGGGGTGCAAATCAAAAGTTTGAGGGGGGGTTCTAATCGAAAGTTTGAGAGGGGGGGGGATGCAAATCGAAAGTATGTCCCCGGGTTATATTATACTGCTGGAAAAGATGTAAACCCCCAACCCCTCTCACATGAGACGATCCTGGCTACGCTACTGCTTTCGGTCTGTGGCCAGCTCACAGTTCTAAGACAGCGTTCCGTAACAGCTCCACGAGTTTATACACGTACATCTGCCAGTTCCCTTTGTATAGTTGTTATTTCGTGATATGTTTCACTTCAATGTTTATCAATCTTTTATTGTTCCCAGTCGTTCTGAGTGCAACAAAAGCTAATATTTTGTCATATGTTGCCTTGTCAAACAGGATAAGATTGTTCAACTTATCACGGACTTTTCCTTTAGACCACTTCTTCTCAGCTCTACCACCGGACCCTTCCTTTCTAGACTTTCCTGCAGTTGTTTTGCTTGCCTTGGCAGCTCCCTTGTCTTCTGCCATCTTTGCCGCCATGTTAATCGACTTGGGTGAGAATAAATATAATTATAAATGAATAATATATATAGTTTTAGGCGAAGGGTTGAAAAACTGGAGGTAAATGGTTAAGAAAATCGTTCTTTACTAATACAATTAGGTATCTATATATATAATTCTCTTCTGGGATCAGTTAGAAAATAAAATACTTAAAAAAAACTTTTTAAAAAACCACGTTTTTCTTGTGGACTAAAAAGTAGAAAATAAATTTTCATACATTTGATGACAAACAAAGTGGGTACGTTCACCATCAAATTTCCCGACCCATCTGCCCGACCCACGTTTTTTGTCATCAAATGTATTTTATTTTCTCCTTTTTAGTCCGTTGCTACACATGAAAAACGTGGTTTTTAAAAAAGTGTTTATAAATACACGGACTAAAAATCTTGAGCGACCAGGATTCGAACCTGGGTTGTCGCGGCCACAACGCGAAGTACTAACCACTATACGATCACGGCCAGCGCGCTCACATCGATTGGGGCCGAAGTAACTGTGTCGATAGGCCTCCAGTCTTGTCGGTATCTTTAGAAATCATGTCCTCAATTTTATGGTCCTTGGGGCGTAATTAAATTAAGCTAATTACGGTCACTAATTGCTAGTTTTTATGATTGCATCTGAAATTGTTAGGCGAAAGTAGCATGCATGCCGAATTTCAGGTCTCTAGAGCAATCAGAAGTGGGCTAATTTTCGATGTCAATTTTAACAACAAACCCACAAACGCGAAGCTGAGTTAAGAAAAACGTGTTAATAACAAGCTGCAAGCGCGCCTTGGCAGTCCCCTCTCTTCCTCTCTATCACCATCACTACCACCCCCACCCCACCCCCACATGATCTGGTGAGCGGTGTTCACTCTGAATGTTTACAAATAGTTTGTTGACGGCTATAAGGGGCAGATAATTTAGTTTGAAACGATTTTAAACTTACAGGAGGTAACTAAGAGAAGGCTGCATTTGCGGGGAGTGGGGAGGGGGTAGGGTAGGGGTTTGGGGGGGGGGGGGGGTTAGTGTTTTAAAGCAAATATTTTCAGTGGCAGCATTGGTACTGTCTAATTCACAAATTATGAATGAATGAAAAGTAGAAAATAAAACAACTAAATAGCGGCGTATGATACGCAGCGGGTCGGCTCGTATAATAAAATAATAGTAGTCCACTTATAAAACACTAGCACAAACATTCAATTAAAATGCAGGTTACGCCTAACGAATATTTACATACATTATAAAGCCTTATTTTTTGTAATATATTATTAATAAAATCGATTGTATCATAAAACTTGATTGATTGCTTTCTACTTTAATCACTATGTGAAAAATCACAAGTTATATTCCTTTAATTATTCAGATTATGTATATGGGAAGTAACTAGAACCGATCAAATGTTCATCAAATCAACACAGGCAACGAGTTGGCACCACGAGTTCCACAGATGCTATCTTAGAAAATATGGTCCGTGGGTTGGACATCCTGTACAGTGGACCAGGGATTCTACTTGACTCACTAATCCTATTAACAGCTAAACATTAAATACAAAGCAGATAGTACCGAATTAATTACGCATTAACATATAATTAACATTCCTAAAGTGTGTAGTTTAGTTTTATCGTTTAGTTATGTTTCCCCCCAAGGCAGTAGCGTAGCGAGGGGGGGGGGGGGGGGGCGGGGGGGGGGGACATATGTACCCGGGCGCCGACCTTAGGGGGGGGGGCACCAAATTGAAAGTTTGAGGGGGGGGTGCAAATGAAAAGTTCGAGGGGGGGGGGTGCAAATATCGAAAATTTGCTCCCAAGGGGGCGCCAAATCGAAAGTATGTCCCCGGGCGCCGGGAAGGGTCGCTACGCCTCTGGCTTAAAGTCCTGGATAAGGAGATGTAGGTCGATAACGGAATCGCCTGTAATGGAAAAAATAAATAATTAAACGAGAGTGTTGAAAGTGAAGGTCTCTATATAAAATTATTGAATCGATATTTTATTCTTTGACAATCTACAGGTATGCCAACATATTATGCTCTACATTAAGCGAACTTCTTTTAGTCAAATGTTTTCTGTTAATATATTTCACTTGTGAATCTAAAAAACCCACTAAAAGAACTTGATATATAATGTAATTTTACAAAAAAAAACTTGAATACAAATTGACAATATAGTTGACTATCTATGGGTTAGAATGGATGAATATTTTTTCTTCTAAATGTACGGCTCTATATTCTTAATTTATTATATAATTGTTCACCTTATTGATTTGCAGGTTCTCTTTTTTGTTTATAGAAAGCGCGTGATGCCAAATCGCATGGCGGCTATAATTAGGATCAGCGTTTTAGTTCTTTGCCGCAAGTTGTGTTATGTACAACATACGGGATACAAGTGTGTTTATGAATGTATCAATCGTTCTTGTGTGTACTTCTTGGTGTGGCGAATAAATATGTCGTGATGTTAAGTGTACAGGTGATAAACTTTAAAACAGGTGTTTGTTATTGTCAACGGTATTTAAATAATTAGCACCTTTGATGGAGTTACTAGAGCAGTGGCGTAGCCAGGTCGGGTGTCACCCGGTGCGGAACTTAATGGTGTCATCCCCCAGAGGCGTAGCGATCCTTCCCTGGGACAAACTTTCAAATTTTCTATTTGCCCCCCCCCCCTCAAACTTTTGATTTTCATCCCCCCCCCCTCAAGTTTTTCTCTATATATTTTGCTATTTTTGGCCTTGGTGTCACCCCCCCCCCCACTAAAAGGTGTCAGCCGGTGCGGTCCGCACCCCCCCGACCCCCCCCCCCCCCTCGCTACGCCTCTGTACTAGAGATACATTGTGCTAATATTCTTGGCTCTAAAGTTAGCAATCGAGCGTTATGTTATTTCACCACGCTAATGTTATCACTAAGCTTTTAACTAGGTGGTCTCTTTAATACAGTAGGATCGAAACCATTGCAAGAACATTGAAAAATTGCTTATCAACTAGAAAAATGAGAAAAGGGTGACCACGCCTATCGGAGCTAAAGAAGAATGAGTTCTGCTGAACGAGATGCTAAATATGCCATAGAAAAAAGAAGCCTAGTGTTTTGACGATATTACAACCGTTACACTTCAAGCCAGTTTAGAATAAAGATAACTATTAAAATACGCAATGGTAAACAATTAAAATATAGGTAAGGATAAATTTTTAATTAAAAGTCTGATAAGTAGAAAATTATTTTTTTTTTATACTGAATAAAATAGCAAATAAAACATGTTTATAAAATTATTCAAATTAAAGGTTAGTTTTTTATACATTTTCTATTTCAATAAATATGTTCTAAAGAAAAACAGAACAAAAATGTAAAAAAAATGATCAGCATTTTATGTAAACGGAATTAAAATGGTAAACTATTTCTCTAAAAAGGAACATAACGCACATTATATAGTGTAAAGAATAAAATATATACCAAACCAAAAAATGAAACACAATTATACCACAATTTTTTTTTTTGTTGATATGACAACCATCGATCTTTTATCTACCCATGAAAACGATGGCTGCATTACAGCCAGGGGCATTTCAGTTAAGTCGATGTGGCATTTAAACGGTAGGTTCAAGCAAACTTTAAAGCTTTGTTATTTAAAAAAAAGTAACGATTCCTTTTTAAACCTAGCGATCAATTGGGCAGATGAAGTAGAGTTATAGATTCCTTGAACTTGGTGTATGAAGAGATTATGTGGTCAGCACTATGCCCAGCTTCTTTACTTTCTCTAAACGGTTTAGGTACCCATCAAGGATGGCTGGACCCAAGGACTTTCCACTGACTTGAACCTGGATTCGAAATCGAGAATTTCGATTAGGATCGTAGTGCTTTACCTCCAGGCCACGTCATCCCATATTAAAAATAAAAAATAAAAATAAATTAATAAAAAAAGCATATTTATTACACAGAGAAGATATATTTGAAATTTTGAAAAGTATAAACTATAAACAATTTAATTTTTCTATCAATATACATAAAAGTAGAATGTCTCACAATGCCGAGCTATGTTATATAGGCCTACTTTTATTCGAAATGACATGAGGGTTTATGGCCCATTTTATCTATCGTACAGTATGATTTTAAATAGTAAGATCAATATTTCTCTTCCATATATATTCATCATACATCTTAAATATAACTTTAAATAAATATAGAAAGACATACAGAATACATGTTAAAATGGAATGTCATTTAGTCACTAAATATAAATATAATATGTTCGTGTAGGTTTTTTTTTTTGTTGACCGACAGAATTTATTTTTATAAAACAAAATATTTGCGAATTTGACAGCTGATATTTAACTATGGTTGACTTCCTGGATAAGGGGGAGGTGGGTTGTTTGTTGAATCACCTGTAATATAAAAACAAGTAATTAATTCAAATGAGATAGAAAATAATGATTGATAATTATGAAATTATTATGATAACAAATTCTTTTAAGGCATTGATTTTATGTTTACGAGAGAGGAAAGAAACAAAGGGTACAGAAAGCGATTTGATAGAAACAACACAAACTAGCAATATACGTTTTGACATTCCGTTGGAATCTGACTGCAAAAGCTAACTAATTCAATTTGTCTTCGTAATATTTTACGATACAGACGTTGTTATCAGAAGTTGAGTATGAAGATCGATTTTCATATCGACGGCCATTTTTTAAAGGTAAATTTAAATAAACCTTTTATTTGCAACAACTCTCAATGAGAAACGATTTTAGAAGCGGCACTTTTAATATCATTGAGTGGAACGTTACAAGAAACTATACAAATATACTAACTCTTACCGTGCTTGTTATTTTCTTGATTACATTGAGTTACATCCCTTTGTGGTTCGCCTTGTACTTGTGTGTATACGGTTTCGTACGGCGGAGGAAGAGGGTAAAATGCGGGAATATCCGCTGACGGTAGGACGTCATTGTTCGCGCTGGTGTGGAATATGGCGCTGTATGACGGAGGGTCACCCGAGAATCTGACGTCATATGATGTCTGGTTTGCTGCAGGTGAATTCCTCGACTGATGGCTATCGTGGACTGGGCGGCTGGACATGTGTAGGTCACCGGGGCGGTGGGCGTGAGCCGCATCAAGGGCGTTACGGAGTTTGATCTTCCGTCTGGCATTGACGACAGTAATGGTAATAATAACGATAAGGATGATGAGGCAGAGGGGGACTGCAGTGTAGACGACGATATCGTATGTTGTAGTCTCATCCGTTCCACCTGAATTATATATATATAAATATATAAAAACATAGAATATGACATGTATATATATATATATATATATATATATATATATATATATATATATATATATGAAATATATATATATATATATATATATATATATATATATATATATATATATATATATATATATATATATATATATATATGATATATATATATATATATATATATATATATATATATATATATATATATATATATATATATATATATATATATATATATATATATATATATATATATATATATATATATATACATATATATATATAACCGTATATACACAGGTGTCTTACATGATTTTAGATTAACAGTGATACGCTTCTCAATGATGACGTCATTTTCTGCCCGACAGATGTACTCTTCTGAGTCACCGCATGACGTCATGTACAGGGTGTACTGAAGCGTGTTGACCACTGGGCTTCTGTATATCACCTGGCGGAGGTTGCCCTTGTACAGGGTGAGGGTCAGGTCGGGGATGTTGTTGACGTGACAAAGGAAGTGGGCTGGATGCTGTTTGTTGACGCTGATGTGTGTAGTCAATTTGTTGACAGTAAACACTAGGCTGTCGTCTAGTGTAAATAAACATGAGACTTTTATAGTATAAATTATGAAGTACAGCACCAAATGATTTTGCTTGAGCGCAAGCAATATTTCTAAATCAAAATTCAACTATTTCTTTAAATATATATTTAAAAAAATGAAAAATATTTTTTAGATATAAAACACTGCAATGTTTGCAATTAAAATTAAAAAAAAAACCCATTAAAATCAAATACATATTGAGAGCTAAATAAACATATGACACTTTTAACTCTGGAAACTAAAACTGCTTAATAGAAATTAATAAATAATAGTTTGTTTTGAAAATCATGTAAATACGTGTTGGTTTCTTTTACTGATCTTCTTCTTCTTCTTCGTTCTTAGTTTTTAGTGTTCGATGGGATCGAGCCCTATCTGCAGGAAGGTTTGAACTCGATACTTTCTTCGAATTTATCAACCATGAACTTTTTGGCGACTTGACCACGTCTCCAACACAATTAAGGATTACGTATCAACTTTTTATGCGCCCTTGAGGCTATTGACTCCGATTTCAGCCTGCTTTTCTTTTTGAATTTGCTTCCATAGCCTTTGTCAAACCAAGAACAAACTACAAGGCGGTAGTTGTTTGATTTGGAGTTGTCTCTCCTAGAAGAGTCCCCAGCTAACAAGCCTCATCTGCCCAAGGGTTCGAACTCGATACTTTTTAGCAACCATGAACTTTACCAACTCGACCACGCGGACCCCTATATAGACATTGAATATGATGAATTGCAAATGAAGAGAAATTGAAAATACTTCGATTTTAATAATCGAAATACATGTTTTTAACACATTTTCTATTTTGACGAAGTGAATTGATTTTCTATAATTGTTCAATAAATCTGTAATTTACCAAAGTTATCGAGCGAGATCCAGTTACTGAGTGTCGAGAACGTGTCGCCATTGTCCACATCCGGCCACACCTCCACTCTGAAGGGCGTGTACATGATGTTGTGGACTATCCCTTCAATCGTGCAAGTTGTTTCATAGAGTGCTCTCCCATATATTGATTTGTGGCTGTAGGTGGTTTGTAATTTTATGTCTGACTCGGGAAGTGCGAACTGAAACACATAGTGGTATGAATTTATTTACATGAAATTGTAGGTGACCCGTCAAAAGAGCGCACGACAAAAGAGCGCCGACAAAAGAGCGCCGACATAAGAGCGCCGACAAAAGAGCGCCGACATAAGAGCGCAGACAAAAGAGCGCAGACAAAAGAGCGCAGACAAAAGAGCGCAGACAAAAGAGCGCAGACAAAAGAGCGCCGACATAAGAGCGCAGCCAATTAAAAAACACATTTATATATTATGGTTAATATGTTATGAATGCAGTTTGAAAATATTTCTAACCCAAATTAATATGGAGAAGATCGAATCACAGAAAGGGAAGGTTATTATTTTGGTCGAAGGCTACAGATGTGGAAAGGGCAGAGCAAATGCTGGTGGAAGTACGACATGGAGATGCTGCAAGAACGATGGCTGCCGAGGATGGATTGAAATGCTGAACGATGTTGTTCTGTCATCATCGGCAGGATACGTACATAGGGAGGCGAAGGAGAAACCATCCTGTTGTTTATAAATTGATCAACCAGTTTCGTCTGGAACAAGATCACAGTTACGAGGTATAGCCCACAACTTAGCAATATAAATGCAACTATAAAGAAACGTTTTACTCATTTGAAATATATTTTCAGTTTGTTACATTTCATTTCAGTTTGTATTCTAAATTTAGGCCTAACATTTAAAATTTTTGTATTTGTTATTAGATTGCGTTTTGAATAATTGGACTTTACGTTGATTTTATCAGTTTTTTAGTTAAAGAAACTGAACAATTAGTTTTTTAATGAAACAATTAAGAGTTAACATCAAACGATGCCTTCTGATCTGAGTTAATTTTTATTAACCATTAACTATTGTTTTCGATCTTTAGTTTGTGCTCTTATGTCGGCGCTCTTTTGTCGGGAAATTAGTGCGCTCTTATGTCGGTGCTCTTATGTCGGCGCTCTTTTGTCAGCGCTCTTATGTCGGCGCTCTTTTGTCGTGCGCTTTTTTGACGGGGTGCCAAAATTGTAAACACATTGTATTTGTTGTTACATATGTGATGAAAAAGAGCATGATTTCCTAGGTTACCGCGGCAGGTTGATATGTGTGGGTAATTCTGGCAAATACTAAATATGGTAGTGTTACATACGTTTTGTAATACCGCCATAATAACGTGATTAGAAGGAAGAGCTGATGTCTGTTAAACCGAAATTCCCGAGTTTGAGTCCCAAGGTGAATTGGGCTTTTAAGCTGGGCACAATGCCCAATTTAGGAGAGAAAACTAAGATTTCAAACATAAGTGCGGCCCTTAGTCGACATGATGACAAGCTGATCAGTGGCGTCGCTAGGTCGGGCGTCACTCGGTGCCGACCCTCTTGGTGTCTCCCCCCACCCTAATTTATCTCTGTAAATTTTGCAGTTGGTGTCACCCCCAGTTAAAGCTTTATAACTAACGAGGGGGTCGGCGTGGTCGAGTCGGTAAAGCTCATGGTTGCTAAACCGAAAAGTCTTGAGTTCGAGCCCTCGTACAGATGGGGCTCGCTAGCTGGGGACAGCCACACTTCTAGGAGAGACAACTCCGAAATTCAAAAAACTGCTGCCTTGTAGTTTGTTCATGGTTGGACAAAGGCTATGGAAGCAAATCCAAAAAGAAAAGCAGGCTGAAATCGGAGTCAATGGCCTCAATGGCACATAACCAGTTGACACGTAATCCTTAATTGTGTTGGAGGCGTGGTCGAGTCGGCAAAAGCTCATGGTTGATAAATTCGAAAAAGTCTCGAGTTCAAACCCTCTGGCATATAAGGCTCGATCCCCTCCAACACTAAAAATTAAGAACGAAGAAGAAGAATTCTAACGACATTTATTTTTTGTCGTTTCTTAATAAAGTGGGATAAGCATTGCTTTTTCTATTATTTGTATGTTAACGTTATCGTTTTACCCCCCCACTCCCCTGTTGGGATCGCCATTATGTACTTTAAATGATTTTTAACTCTAATTCGTCATTCATTGAACTGTCAAAAACATATTTATTCTAGCTATCTTGCTATTTTTTTGTGTCTTGGTGTCACTCCCTTAAATGATGTCACCCGGTGCGGTCCGCACCCCCGCACCCGCCTCGCAACACCTCTGAAACTGATAAATATGTTGATCTCTTGATTTACACACGTAATTAAACGTTATATCATTTTTTTCATTTTTAACAATGTCTGTATTCTGTAAATCGAGGGTCAGTTTGTTGTCAGATCTTGTAACTTGATAGTTTACAAATTTTAGCGAACTCTTTAAAACTGCTTTAAGACCGTAACGACGCTCCCAGCGTCCGGTAAAATTTTCTCTATTTAATTCGTTGTTTTTCAGAATCCAAGTTTTTTTTATCGTAAATCTAGGTCATGATAACGCTAGAACGGCCATTTTGTGTTGTACTTACTTCGTGTAGTGTTCTTGTTAGGTTGATTTTTGTATGTTATAAAATTGTTTTTGTAAAACAACTAGCAAAACGGCATTTTTAACAATTCGGAATGTATCTGAAAGTTTACGTCGCCGCATTATAAAATTAACCAAAATTACAGTATTTATACCGAGACTAATCCAATCCATGATTTTTGTAGAAAATTGAAAGTACTTTCGTTTTCTTTGAATAAGAACTCATGAAAAGTAATTCCTATCATTAATTTTACAGACATAAGCATATTTTTTGCTCGAAGAAAATCAACTTTTTATTTTTTTTTCTCTAAAGCTAAGTAATTACCTTTCTTTAATAAATAAATAATTACTTAAAATTTATATGTGCGTGTAGTGTATTTAATTATGATTAATTTTTATCCATAATGTGTGGGGTTTAAATCAACGGGTAAAAAGATATGGGTCGTTAGGCCGCAGGGGTACTGACAAAAATGGGTGAAAAAAATAATTCCGGTATATCGTGAACATAATTACGGACTTAAAGAGGTAAATTACTTGTCCAAACAAATCTAGAAAATGTAGTTATGCAGATCATCAAATTCTTCACTAGATTAATGTGAACTGGTGTTTATTGATATCTTCAACAGAGTTTCTTCCAGGCATCTCTTCCGAAAAAAAGTCTACCGCCCCCCGAACGAAATGAAATTTATATAGAAAATATATACTTTTAACAGTGTCTGCCCCCCCCCCCCCGAAGAAAGTCTACCGCCCCCCCCCCCGGAAATTTCAAGTGCCCCCCCCCCAAGAGATAAAAAGTCGGGAAGAAACACTAATCTTCACGTCTTAGAGACTTCCACCAACACATTCCTTCTTAACATATTATAATTGAAACATGTAGAGTTTTCGAAATCATTTTAGTGGGAAAAATTTATTTCTTACAGTAGTCCATTTAAAGCATGTGATTAAAATACGTTTTTACCTGTGAGTTGAGCCTACACCTGCCTTGTGGGTAGACCAAAAATGTACAGGTGATCAGAAATGTTTGACCAAAGTTGGCGACGGAGCTGTTACAATAGGTGCTGTAAGGCGGTACTGAGAAAATAGAGGAATATTTGTAACCTTATCTTGGCCGATACTGTAAATGTATGCTAGAATAAAACGTTTATTTTAAGGAAGGCAGAAATATTATTATTTACTCGAGTAATAATAACCCAAATTAGTCAACAGACAGTACTACATCATCTACATTAGCATATTATTTTATGTAACTTAATTAAGCGTATATATATAATGATCTCTAAAACACCCATCATTATGCTATTACCAGTACTAAATTTCTGAAATAAATTACCTGTGCACTTCACTAGAAACTTACCTACAGTTGTAATCTCGCACTTAGATAAAGTCTGCCTATTCCAACCGCTTGTCTTAACACATGCAACTTGAGTCAACGTTCGCGGCACATGAAACACTTTGAGGTAAGTTGTGAAGGGTGAACTTTTTACCGTGAAATTTCCTATCTCATAGTCTGAAAATTATTATTGTTCGTTACATTTTGGAAAAAACTAACGGAATATGAAGTAGAGCGATGCATATCAATTTTATTATTTAACATAATTAGTTCTCCCATTTAGGAAAACAAACTTTAAAATGATTTTAAAAATCGTAACAATGAAAATTCTTTAAAACATTTCAATTTAATTTTGACATGGAAAATTATTTATTCTAGCCGGGAATAATTGTTATTGAATGAGATCGTAAACACTTATATTGTACGTGACATTGATTGATATTTGCTAAATTATGTTGAATTAATTAACATCGTTTGTATAATATTTATACCAGGTATGCTCTTTAGCTTCGCTAAGGTTTGTGAACATATGATTTCAAACAAAAGATTTACCTAAGCATTTATCAAAATTAGACCCACTTGACATTATTTCTAACTCAACACCAACATTTTAAACGTATAATTTTGTACTGGAAAGTAAAAAGCTGTCTATAGTTAGCTTGCATATGTCCATCATTATACTTACCTAAGTTATAATTGGACTGCGTCAGATGGCACTGCGTGTGTGAGTACAAAATATTGTGTGTACATTGTCCCACAAAAACTGGACGTTCCTCCACGTACACATACCAATTCATGGCGTACTCGTTATACTTGCCGCTACAGTTAACAATGAGCGCATCATTCTCTTTTACAACTCTATCGCAGCTTGCAGCCTCTGATGCTTTACAAATTGAAAGAAACTCTAGAAGCATTGTTCATGTATTACACTTGAACAAAGGAACTAATGTTTTAATATCTTTTATAATAAAATATGTGTAATTTTAATATGTATACATATGCATATGCTTATATATATATATATATATATATATATATATATATATATATATATATATATATATATATATATATATATATGTATATATATATATATACATATACATATATATATATAAGCATATATATATATATATATATATATATATATATATATATATATATACATATATAAATATGTAATCTGTAATAACTTTTGAGTTGTACATAGCCCACTCAATGTTCATGGGATTCTTATCTATCGAATAACGTTATCTGTTGGTGTATGGCATATGTTTAGAGATATAACCAAGCCCTGTGTTTGTACTTACATGATTGGAGAAGTATTTCTACACATATATACAGCAACAGCTTGTGATGTATTGACCTAGTGATATGTTTAGCGGATTGTTATTGAAACATACAGATTTAAAAGTGAAGGCACATTATATTATATTTTTTGTAGAATGAAATAATTTTTAAAAATAATTTTTTTTTTTACTAATTATGAGGTTTTGTAGTTGCTACAATTTCTTGGCAAATTTGGTTGAATTAAAAGTGTATTTTTTAAAGTCATTTTTCTTCGTCCTCATTTTGAGATTAAAGTCAATGCGAGTCTGGGATTTCAAAGGACGGCATGACATGGAATTGTACAGTGTGGCATGGGACGATATAAAATGGGATAAATAGAATAAAATGAATAAATGGAATAATTGGAATAAATGGAATAAATGGAATAAATGGAATAAATGGAATAAATGGAATAAATGGAATAAATGGAATAAAAGGAATAAATGGAATAAATGGAATAAATGGAATAAATGGAATAAATGGAATAAAGGGAATAAATGGAATAAATGGAAAAAATGGAATATATGGAATAGAATGGAATAGAATGGAATAGAATGGAATAGAATGCAATAGAATGCAATAGAATGCAATAGAATGGAATAGAATGGAATAGAATGGAATAGAATGCAATAGAATGCAATAGAATGGAATAGAATAGAATGGAATGGAATGGAATTAGAATGGAATTAGAATTTAATAGAATGGAATAGAATGGAATAAAATGGAATAGAATAGGATAGAATAGGATAGAATAGGATAGAATAGGATTGAATAGGATAGAATAGGATAGAATAGGATAGAATACGATAGAATACGATAGAATAGGATAGAATAGGATAGAATAGGATAGAATAGGATAGGATAGGATAGGATAGGATAGGATAGGATAGAATTGGATAGAATAGGATAGAATAGGATAGAATAGGATAGAATAGGATAGAATAGGATAGAATAGGATAGAATAGGATAGAATAGGATAGAATAGGATAGAATAGGATAGAATAGAATAGAATAGAATAGAATAGAATAGAATAGAATAGAATAGAATAGAATAGAATAGAATAGAATAGAATAGAATAGAATAGAATAACTTAATAATCATAATTGTATAGAGTACATAACAGATTTATGACTTACATTTTTTTCTGCACGCTAATATATCCGTCAGTTAGTTCAAAATGGGAAGCTATTTTTATTTGAAGGAAACAGCAGTGCTTCCATATTGTTACATGTTTGTTTTTCACCTTGCCATATCTGTAGATAAGACTAAACTAGGCCTTGGTATTCGAATCAGGAACGTATTTATAGTTATCAGCAAGCAAATAGCAAGCAAATGTCCTAAACTTTGCTCTAGAGTTTGCGATTACGCACTCATTTGTCTGACCACACCTTGATAATGAATTTTTAAAGCTGCCAACAAGGTGTTCTTTAAAAAAATATGCAATCAAATCAACTGTTACTACACTGGGAAAAAAAGCATATCACAAAGTAAAGTGAGCAAAAATTTAGAGAAGTCTCTCGGAGCTTTGAACTTAATGAAGTCCGCTAAACAAAATTTTGAATGTGCAAGCGCTATTATAGAGCTTCCACAACAAGTGCGATTCAACTTTGTACACGTAAGGGGTCATCCATAATGACGTCACACTTTTGTTGACGATTTTTACCTCCTTCCCCCCCCCCTCCGTCACACGTCGTCACAAAAAGGCAGACCCCCCCCCTAAAATGACGTCACACCTCAGCCTACAACCCCCCTCAAAAATGCTGTTGAATTTTTTCAAAATCTTGTCAGAACTCTGTCAACATTGAGTATTTTGATAAATTCCTATTACAATTTATTAAAACCGATTCCTAAACGCGAAATAACGGTTAAAACTTGTTTTCTAACATTGCTTTTTTACAATGCAAAACTGTGACGTCACACCCTCTGAACCCCCCCCCCCCCCCTTCTCATCACACACCGTCACAAAATTACGGCCCCCTCCCTTCCCCCTACGAGTGTGACGTCATTTATGGACGACCCTTAACGATAAACAACCACAATACAGGTAGCGAAAACTATTACTAGTTCTCATCCGTAGGATATCAAACTTGAGATAGATGAAACATCAGATAAGACCAAATGTCTTCAAAAAAATAATAAATACAAACGAATAAAATCTTTAATTTTAATATTTTATTTGAAGTAAAACAAAAAAAAAATATTATTATATAAGCTGCCATTAAAAGCAATCAAAATTATATATAAATTGTTTTTCAAAAGGAATTAATAAAGAGCATATTACATCGTGTTAAAATTTGAAAAAACAAACAAATAACTATACCATTAAATACATATAGTCATATATCACAGGACGTTTTTAGTGTAAAGTCAAACACCATCCTTATCAATCTATCAGAACAACAACCGTGTTACAGTCTTAAAGCAATCGGTCCGCTTTATGGAACTTAGATGCAACATTTAAAAGCAGAGTCTCCTCCAGGCATACTGCCCCCCCCCCCACCCCCCCCCTCCCACCCCTGCGCTCCGAACAAAATAGAATTTATATAACATATTTTTATCAGTGTCTGCCCCCCCCCCCCCCGGAAAATTTAGTCTGAAAATATTAAGTGTCTCCCCCCCTCATCCCTCCCGGAGAAAAACGCCTGGAAGAAACATTGTTTACAAGATGTCCTTACAATCGCAAAGCATGTTTTTAACATGTTTAAAAAAAAAAAAAACACCAATGTCAGCTGAGTCTCAGAAACAGGTCAAATCTACCTCCCCTGCCCCATGTCACAACAGGTCAGAAAGGCAACTTGACTATACACATTTTAAAGAGGTCATTCCTCAGCTTACAACTTCTGTATTAAAAAATTAATTCTTTATTTCTGTGGACACCATGTTGTAAATAATGCAGAGTTATTGTTCTCAAGTTGTATAATTTATTGTGTGTTGTACTTATGGATATATCATTAATTTAATTAAAGTATTCAAATAAATTTGTGTATAACATATTAAAAAAAATCTCTACATAAATACGTATCTTAAGGTCTAAAACGTGTACATACATATAGCTTATAGGTGGATGGTGTCACAATGCGGACTGTGTTTTTGTCTTATATCCTAATCGGTATGGCTGAGGCAATCAGTAGCGTAGCGAGGGGGCAGGGGTGGGGGGGCGGGGGGGGGGGGACATGTCCCCGGGCGCCGACCTTAGGGGGCGCCAAAATGGGTTGGAAAAATAAATTGAAAGGTTGAGGGGGGGTGCGAATCGAAAGTTTGAGGGGGGTGCAAATTAAAATCTCGAGGGGGGTGCAAATTGAAAGTTTGAGGAGGGGGGCGGGTGCAAATCGAAAGTTTGAGGGGGGTGCAAATCGAAATCTCGAGGGGGGGGGGTGCAAATCCAAAAGTTTGTCCCCGGGCGCCGGGAAGGGTCGCTACGCTTCTGGAGGCAATTAGCCCATTAGTCCCATTTAGCCACACCTTTTTGTATACAGTGAGAGCAATAGTTTTATTCCTCCTGCACCGTAAACGTCAATATCAGAACATAAAAGATAAATAGGCAACTTGTTAACATAGAATGTCAGATTCTCTTATATGGGTTTTATAATGACGTATAAATGTGCTTAACATGTTTCATATAAAAACAGTATTAGTGTTAGTGAAAGGCGATACGAAGTATCATTTAACTTCCTGGATATGGAGGGGGTAGGTCGATTATTGAATCACCTGTAATGGAAAAAAAAAGCGAGATTGTAAACATTCAAATTGAAGATCACTACATACAATTATTGCATTGAATTTTTGTTTTCTAACAATCTACATACATTTCAACAAATAATAGTCTACCTTAACCATACTTCTTTAATTCGATTATGTTGTGTTGATACATTTAAACTGAATAGTTTTTTTTATAATAACATTCTCTTAGGATCTTGTTTTAAAAGTTTCCTAATCAATGTGTCTTGCTGTTAGTTTCTGATATAAACTGTGTTGGTTTGCATTACGATTGCATTTACAAATCACTGGCCATTTTGAAAACATAAACTTCTACCTCAAAACTAATGTTTACATTTAAACACAATTTTTTTTTTTACAAAACATGTGTGTTTTTGATTGTTTAACCAATTATGTTATTGGTTACATGTGTCGTGTAGACATACAGTAAATAAAATAACGAGAAATGTTTCAAGAACTGAAACTCTTACCAGGCTTGTTGTTTTCTTGATTACATTGAGGGACAGCACTTTGATGTTCGCCCTCGACTTGAGTGTATACAGTTTCGTACGGCGGGGAAAGAGGGTAAAATGCGGGAATATCCGCCGACGGTATGACGTCATTGTTCGAGCTTGTATGGAAAATAGAGCTGTATGACGGGGGGTTAGCCGTGTATCTGACGTCATAAGATGGCTGGTTTGTTACGTGTGGATTTCTTGACCGATGACCTCTATGGCATGAGCGTCCGCGCCCCCTGGAACATCCTCTCGAGGTTCTGCTCGGGAAAGCTGTCATATTGATGTCACCAGTTCTACGGGCCTGAGCCTCTAGGAGGGCGTTGCGTAGTTTTATCTTTCGTCTAATGCAGACGACAGAAATGGTAACAATAACGATGAGGATGATGAGGCAGAGAGGCAAAGCAACGTAAACGACGATAGTGTATGTTGTTGACGTGTCCTCTGTTCCACCTGCAATATATGAATATATATATATATATATATATATATATATATATATATATATATATATATATATATATATATATATATATATATATATATATATATATATATATATATATATATATATATATATATATATACACACACATATATATATATATATATATATATATATGTGTGTGTGTGTGTATATATATATATATATATATGTCTATATATATATATATATATATATATATATATATATATATATATATATATATATATATATATATGTATATATGTCTTTATATATATATATATATATATATATATATATATATATATATATATATATATATATATATATCCAAATGCCTTACAAGAGTTTAGGATGACGGTGATCCTTTTCTCAATGATGATGTCATTATCTGTCCGACAGATGTACACGTCTGAGTCACTGCATGACGTCATGTACAGGGTGTACTGAAGCGTATTGACCACTGGACTTCTGTATATCACCTGGCGGAGGTCGCCCTTGTACAGTGTGAGGGTCAGGTCGGGGATGTTGTTGACGTAACACAGGAAGTTGACTTGTTGCTGTTTTTTGACGCTGATGTCCGTAGTCAATTTGTTGACAGTAAACACCAGTGTCTGGTCTAATTAAAGAAATAAGACGAGTGTATAGAAACTTTGATGTATAGCACAAAATCATTATAATCATTTAATTATTAAGAGTCCGGTCTTAGGCATGACTTACGTGGGTCGAAAACGTAGTAAATCATGTTAGTGTTACTTTTTGCGAAATAAAAGGTCCAGGAAATACCTTCTAATTTATTTTTTTTTACTCAGGGAAATGTTTTCCATTATGCGATTTATAAAAAAAAAAACGAGCTGACCCGCTACGTAGTGTACGCCGCCATCTAGTTGTATTATTTTCTGCTTATCAGCAATTCATAATTTGTGAATTCAACACAACCCCCCCCCCCCCCTCCCACCCAGTGAAAGCAGCCGTTTACAGACAAAGAAAAGATCAATTAGAAATTGTTACCTCCCCTTCGTTTCAAATCGTTTAATACTAAATTATCTGCCCCCAATAGGGCTGGTAAGTAGGTCACCAGCCAGTTCTATGGCTCAGGCAGATTTTATTAAGCCGTAGAACTGGTTGGTGACCTACTTACCAGGCCTATAGCCGTCACTAACCCGGCTCTACGATTGTAAACATTCGGGGTGAACCACAGATCACTTGCCAGGAGGGGAAGAGGGTGGTGGCTAAGCTGTGTGGTGTTTTCTATGGTCTCCATGAAGAGAATTATACACGGTTTCTAAACGTGCATGAATTCAACAATTTACCAAAGTTATCGAGCGAGATCCAATCACTGAGTGTTGAATACTTGTCGCCATTCTCCACGTCCGGGTGGGCCTCGACTCTAAAGGGCGAGTACAGTACGTTGTGGACGATCCCCTCTATGGTGCATGTTGTCTGGTAGAGTGGTTTCCCATTGACTTGCTCGTGACTGTAGGTTGTTTGTAGCTGTAGCTGGTCTGTATCAGGGAGTACGAACTGAAACACATACAATAAGAGATGGCAGTGGCGTAGCCAGGATTGTTTTCAGGGGGGGGGGGGGGTTCCAATTTTTACCCGGGAACAAACTTTCGATTTGCACCCCCCCCCCTCAAACTTTCAATTTGCACGTCCCCCCCCCCCCTTAAACTTTCGATTTGCAACCCCCCCTCAAACTTTCGATTTGCACCCCCTCATACTTTATATATATATATACCGAGGGGTCTATGGGGGGGTTATGACCCCCCCCCTAACCCCCCCCTGCCTACGCCACTGAGAGATGGTGATTTTACTTAAAATACTTTATTTAAAAAAAGGTCAACCCATATTATAAAAAAGAGTATTTACATACTAGAACAGCTTGAAGTAGCGTAGAGCTTTAGGATGGTAGGCTGTGTGCATAATTTTGCATAAGATAAGAATAAACGCAACAACGATAGTAACATTTTTATTTTTATGAGCTTTTACAATGTCTCTTCATTGGTAGTTTCTTTTTTTCTTCTTTATGGTGTTGTGGTAGATTCTGTTAACCAGTGGCGTAGCCAGGATCGTCTCAAGGGGGGGGTCCAATTTTTACCGGGGCCAAACTTTCGATTTGCACCCCCCTCAAACTTTCTATTTGCACCCCCTTCATACTTTATATATATATATACCGAGGGGTCTATGGGGGTTATGACCCCCCCTAACCCCCCCTCCCCCCCTGCCTACGCCACTGCTGTTAACTCAATTCAGTCCTCTCTAGTATTTTTTCAAACTTTTGTCCAATCTTTCATGATACATTAGCCTTCGAAGACAACAATAATTTCTTGGTATTAAATTAATCTAAATTGCATTGTTATTCAATTTCATCGTTGGTCGCTCATGAAATCTCCTCAACATTTTAGCGAATATGGCTTACATTGAAAAACATAAAAAGTTTTAATTAATTCTTTTTTTTTTTCTTTTATTATTATTACTTTTTAAAGCTTTTTATTATACGCTATGAGAATGCTGCTGTTATTTGTTAAAACAATTGTTTATCTATTTTTTATTTTCTTGAGCGTTCAAAAATGTATAATCAAGAATTTTTGTTTCTAAAAATCTATATTCTGTTTTTATGTGTATTATGTTCTATGATAGGTCAAGGGAGACGTGGAGGCGTACAGCGGTGAAACAGCTGGCAGAGGCAGGACTGTCATGGGGGACTGCTAGTTAGCAGCTGGCAGAGGCAGGAATGTGATGGGGACTGTTAGTTAGCAGCTGGCAGAGGCAGGACTGTGATGGGGGACTACCAGGTAGCAGCTGGCAGAGGCAGGACTGTGATGGGGGACTACCAGGTAGCAGCTGGCAGAGGCAGGACTGTGATGGGGGACTGCTAGTTAGCAGCTGGCAGAGGCAGGACTGTCATGGGGGACTGCTAGGTAGCAGCTGGCAGAGGCAGGACTGTCATGTGGGACTACCAGGTTGCAGCTGGCAGAGGCAGGACTGTCATGGGGGACTGCCAGAAAATTGCCGGTGACCGACAAAAGTGAAGGGACCTTTCTGTGGCGGCCCCATGTGTCTTGGAAAAGATGATGTTAGGATTTACCTGTGAGTTGAGACTGCACGTGCCTTTTGGGTAGACCAGGAATCTGCAGGTGACTTGAAATGTTTGACCAGAGTTTGTTAAGGAGCTGTTGCAAAGTGTTTTGTACGGTCGCACTGTTGAGGAACACAAATAATTTAAATCTTATAGGTGACCACTAGTTTAAAGTTTTTATTAGTGACCACTAATTTAAAGTTTGTATAGTTGACCACTAGTTTAAAGTTTGTATAAGTGACCACTAGTTTAAAGTTTGTATAGTTGACCACTAGTTTAAAATGTGTATAGTTGACCACTAGTTTAAAGTTTGTATAGTTGACCACTAGTTTAAAGTTTTTTTATAGCTGGCCACTAGTTTAAAGTTTGTATAGTTGACCACGAGTTTAAAGTTTGTATAGTTGACCACTAGTTTAAAGTTTTTATAGCTGGCCACTAGTTTAAAGTTTGTATAGTTGACAACTAGTTTAAAGTTTGTATAGTTGACCATTAGTCTAAAGCTTGTATAGTTGACCACTAGTTTAAAGTTTGTATGGTTGACCATTAGTCTAAAGCTTGTATAGTTTACCACTAGTTTAAAGTTTGTATGGTTGACCATTAGTCTAAAGTTTGTATAGTTGACCACTAGTTTAAAGTTTGTATGGTTGACCATTAGTCTAAAGTTTGTATAGTTGACCACTAGTTTAAAGTTTGTATAGTTGACCATTGGTATAAAGTTTGTATAGTTGACCATTAGTCTAAAGTTTGTATAGTTGACCATTAGTCTAAAGTTTGTATAGTTGACCATAAGTCTAAAATTTGTATAGTTGACCATTAGTCTAAAGTTTGTATAGTTGACCATTAGTCTAAATTTTGTATAGTTGACCATTAGTCTAAATTTTGTATAGTTGACCATTAGTCTAAAGTTTGTATAGTTGACCATTAGTCTAAAGTTTGTATAGTTGACCATTAGTCTAAAGTTTGTATAGTTGACCATTAGTCTAAAGTTTGTATAGTTGACCATTAGTCTAAAGTTTGTATAGTTGACCATTAGTCTAAAGTTTGTGTAGTTGACCATTAGTCTAAATTTTGTATAGTTGAACATTAGCCTAAAGTTTGTATAGTTGACCATTAGTCTAAAGTTTGTATAGTTGACCATTAGTCTAAATTTTGTATAGTTGACCATTAGTCTAAAGTTTGTATAGTTGACCATTAGTCTAAAGTTTGTATAGTTGACCACTAGTTTAAAGTTTGAACTCAGATGTATGTTAGAATTATTTTTTTTAGTAATCATTTTTTTAAAAGAGATACTAAACTGCATCATTTTTTTTTATAAATAGCACGCCATATTTAGAATACATTTGCATGAAGTTAGACCTAAACGATTACTTCTGAAATAAACTACACTACCCAAGTTAACTATTTTACCTCTTAACTTAACCCGCATAACTTTTCGTGTGAACAACAGATGATGTCTTACCTACGACTGTAATCGCACATGTAGAACCGGTAGTGAGGACTGGTAAGAGAGGTATACACCTGACTTTAGTCAGCTCTCTCGGAACTTGATACACTGTTAAGTAGGATGTGAACTGGGAACTTGCATTTGGGACAATCCCAATGTCATAGTCTGGAATAAACAGTTTTCGCTTTAAAACACACGGGGCAGATGAATTAGAGTTTATCGGGTTCACAGAATAATATATGGAATAATTAAACTCGCAATATGAAGGGATAGTGTGGTCAGCAGTATGTCCAGCCGCCTGGATTAATAAAGGGAAATTCTACTGACTTGATGGCGAATTCGAACTCGAGACTTTCGGTTTAGAAGTCTATCTCTCTATCGCTAGGCGAAGCCGTCCTCTTCTAATGAGAGTTGATGTTTAAAAAAGGAAGAGAGCAAGGGACAACACTTGACTTTTTTTAAAGCAAACTGTTCTGTATTATTTGTTGTTGGGAATATCATTTCTTATCTAATGCACGCAGTTTTATTTTATAAAGTTTTAAGAATGTGATTGAATCTGAATCAGAACTAACGAAAAGATATGCTAAATCAAACAAAGGATTTTTGATTTGACATGTCGACGACGAAATGAAAGATGTTTCCTTTATTTCATTAAAACACTATAGAAGATAGGGATAAGGTTTAATTTTAACTTTAGACTGAAATAACTTTTAAATCGTTCATTATATTATTTTAACACACAACACAAACACATGCATTGTTATCAGCCCCCTACAGTTGCACCTTAATCACCATAAGTTGTTATATCTAAAGAGAAACCGTCTAAAATTAGAAAGTCTATATTCTTTATTCAACTTACCATCGTAAAGGTTAGACGATGCGAGCCGGCACTGAAGTGCTTGTGATCGGTAACTATACGTACACTCTCCGACATTAATCCTAGTGTTGTTGATTTCCACGACCCATTTCAGGCCCATCGTGAAGAATGTTCTGCAGTATAACACCAACCCATGCCTTTCTTCAACAACACTGTCGCAGCTCTCACCAACCGATGCTTTTAAAACTTAACGGACAGAGAAATGTTTAGTAGGAAAATATTTTCTTATGGTTTTTACTGCTTTATTTAGATAATAACACATTTGTGGGATTCCTATCAGGATAAAAGATAATTTAACTTTTTTGTTTTTCTTTTAATAAACAGTTTTCTAATTATTATTTATTGTATCACTATTTTAGGTAACTGTTAGTAGATTATTTATTCTTTCACTTATTTTAGGTGTGCATATATATATATATATATATATATATATATATATATATATATATATATATATATATATATATATATATATATATAAATACTTGTGTGTATGTATATTGTAATGAAAATTATTTGCTTTTGTTATAGAACCACTGTTTTAATCCTAACGAATACCTTTGACAAAGAATTGTGTGGTTTAAATATTCTTATCGTTTGGATTTTTGTTGATTTATTTTCTAAATGTGTTTAGAAAGATGTACAGGCAATATTTATACTTACGTAGATTCAAAAGTACAACGACACATATCACTAGCAGGAACTTGAACTCCATTTACCTAGATTTTATGTATGATTATTAAGTAAGATATGTGACAATTGATATAATGTAGACTAAGTTCTTTTAAAAATAGTTTCGTAGTTTATTCCAAGTATATTTCAATGATTAATTCAATATTTCTTTAAATTTAAAAGCAATTTATTGTGTATTCCATTTTCTGCTTTTTGTAACGTTTTTGTCAAATAGTAAAGTATGTTTAGAGTCAATTCTTACATGATCTAATCTTCGGAATTAAGTACAAGTTTTATTCAAAGTTTTATGATCAGAGAAATTATTAAAGATTAAAAACTTGCTTTGTTGCCTCCTAGTAACGGGTTTATAAATGACGATATAATGATGAGCTAACTATATAAAGTACATATATACTGTAATCTCTACTTTAAACGTTTAGTATTTCATATTACGCATTAAATGTAATTGAATTGTTCCAAAATTATGGTACAAACTATGGCAAAAGTGTGTATTTTTTAATAAATGGTGCAAACATCTAATAAAAAAAAGAAACTATTGTTAAAATATTCTATTTATGAAGAAGATATATATTTATATGTTGAGGATAATGCGAATATGAGGTTCAACACTTACTGTGTATTTTTTACCATGTCTGTATGTACATTACAACATCCTCATACAGTTCAAGGAGACAAGAGACTTTAACCAGACTGTAACGGTTATGTCACCTTCCTGTTACTGGTTTGTTGTTCGTCTTATCGTATTTAACAAGTGCGCAAATCTAGACCGTGGTATTTTGGGCTTCAAATACATTCACAGTTCTATAAAAGCACA